TGGGTCTGGGGGTGCTGAGCCTGGGGGTGCTGAGCCTGTGGGTGTGGAGCTTGAGCGTGCTGAGCCTGGGGGTGCGGAGTCGGAGGGTGCGGAGTCTGGGGTTGCTGAGCGTCGGGGTGCTGCTTCGTCTGGAGGTCCTGCTGGTGCTTCGCCGTGACTGTCTCTGCAGCAGCTGCGTGAGTGGTTTGTTCGGCGTGCACGCCCTCGGAGTGGAGCTACCAGAGCTGGAGGCGCTGGAGACGCTGGAGCTGGAGGTGCTGGAGTTACTGCTGGAGCTGGTGGTACTGGAGGCACTGCGGCTACTGGTCCTAGAGGTGCTCGTACCAGGGGTACTGAAGCTGCCGGGACTGGTGTTGTTGAGGGCACTAGAGCTGGAGACCCTACGGAGCCTGGAGCTGCTGGAGCTCGAGGCACTGGCGCTGGTGGCGCTGGAGCTGGAGGCGCAGGAGCTGCAGGAGCTGGAGCTGTTGACCCTGGAGCTGGAGGTGCTGGAGACACTGTGCCGCCGCGACCGTACTTCGTTCCCCTGCTTCACTAGGTTCTTGGTGTCCCGTCTTCTACTTGCCTTACTCCTCCCCTCCTGTGTCCACCACCTGACCAGACGCAGCTGCCGTTGCAGCCGGCCTCTCCACTGCCTGCTCCCTCTCCTTACACTGAGCAGTCCGGCGGTCTTACAGAGCGTCATGAGCCCGTGTCTCGACCTGTCTCGCCTGTTCGCACCGCTCGTCGTGTTCCTCCTTCGCGTCCTCCTCCTGTCCCCAGCACGCACGCTATGGCACTCCGTCCTTCCTCTGTTCCACTGCGTGTTCCTCTGCCTGCTCCTCCTGAGTCCTCTCTTCTTGCTGTTCCTGACCCTGAGTCTGACCGCGCTCGTGCTGCTAGTCCCACTGTCACTCGTCTCCTCATCACTGCTGTCACTGACCCTTCCTTTGAGTCTGCTACTGCGTCTGCTCTCGTTGCTGAGCTGCTTGACTTTGCTGCTGCCTGTCGTCTAGACTACGCCACTGCTCTTGTTGCTGAGTCTGAGTCAGCCAGTCCTCCGTCCGTCGGGGGTGAGTGTGCTCTTGGCACGGACGTCCTTGAGGACAGGCAGGAGGAATTTGAGTGTCTTGCAACTGCTGTACCTCGTTTCGCTTCCATGCTGCTTGCCCCTGAGGGAGACCCAAATGCACCAGACATCTCGACCCCGCGCTCTTACGCAGAGGCGATTACGGGTCCTTACTCCTCTCAGTGGCAGGCAGCCATGGATGCCGAGATGGCATCCTGGAAGTCCACAGGCACCTACGTCGACGAGGTTCCCCCACTTGGGGCGAACATAGTCGATGGCATGGATTTTCAGGGTGAAGCGGCCGCCGAGTTCTCCGCCTGCCTTCAAGGCGCGTTACGTTGCTTGAGGCTTCAGTCAGCGACAAGGGGTCGTCTACTTTCAGACCTTCTCTCCCACCCCAAAGATGACTACTCTTCGGGTGTTGCTTCACGTCGCTACTCAGCGTGACTACGAGTTGCACTCTCTGGACTTCAGCACAGCTTTCCTGCAGGGCAGCCTACACGAGGAGATCTGGCTGCGCCGCCCACCTGGCTTCACTGGGTCGTTTCCTGCAGGTATCCAGTGGAGCCTCCGGCGGCCAGTCTACGGTCTCCGCCAGGCGCCTTGCGAGTGGCACGACACACTGAGGAATACACTTGCGGCTCTTGGGTTTGCTCCTTCTACTGCTGACCCGTCGCTGTTTCTACGCACCGACACCTCGCTGCCGCCGTTCTACGTCCTCGTGTACGTTGATGGCCTCGTCTTTGCCACTGCTGACACCGAGGCACTGACACTTGTGAAGTCGGAGCTGCAGAAGAGAGACACGTGCACAGACCTGGGTGAACTGCGCAGCTATCTTGGCTTGTAGATCACCCGGGACAGAGCACGGCACACCATCACACTGACTCAGTCACACATGGTGCACCAGGTCCTTCAGCGCTTCGGTTTCCAGTTCTCCTCGCCACAGCCCACTCCTCTGCCTACCGGCCACTCGCTCTCAGCTCCACCTTCGGACGAGTCCGTAGAGCCGAGTGGTCCGTACCCAGAGCTTGTGGGTTGCCTCATGTACCTGATGACATGCACTCGACCTGACCTCGCATACCCTCTCAGCCTCTTGGCTCGCTACGTGGCTCCCGGTAGGCACCGAAAGGTGCACTGGGATGCTGCAAAGAGGGTACTGCGTTACTTGTGCAGTACGTCGGGCATGGGGCTCGTGCTTGGAGGACGCGGTCCAGTTGTCCTCACTGGTCATGCAGACGCTTCTTGGGTTGACGACTCAGCTACGCAGCGGTTGTCACAAGGTTACACCTTCAGCCTCAGTTCCGGCTCTATCTCCTGGCGGTCTACCCGCTCTTCTTCGGTTCTCAGCTCCAGTTGTGAGGCTGAGATCTACGCAGGGGCCATGGCTGCACAGGAGCTTCGCTGGCTCACCTACCTGCTGACTGACTTGGGAGAGCAGCCTCGTTCGCCTCCAGTTCTGTACGTAGACAACAAGGCCATGATTGCCTTGTGTCAGGAGCACAGACTGGAGCACCGAACGAAGCACATCGCTCTGCGATACTTCCTTGCTCGAGAGTTGCAGCAGCGTGGCCAGCTTCGTCATGCGTACGTGGCCACTAGGGCCAACACTGGTGATGTATTCACCAAGGCTCTTCCGCCTAGTGATCATCAGCGTTTCTCTACTGTGTTAGGCCTTGTGCCTACTTTGCCTCACTTGCTTACTGCTTGACTCTGCTTGTACTGTGATCTATATATATACCTGCATGCTTGCACTTGCTATGGTATGATCATTGTCTGTTGCAGGAGCGTGTACACCCTTGAGAGCAGCCCTTGCTTTTGGTCCCTTATCTGGTTCACGCTGGAATGGCTTGATGTGACGGATCTGGCTGCTCCCCAATGCTTGCCCAAGTAGGAGATAGCCTTGTGCGCTCTTCCGCACCCATGCGCTCTTCTCCGGGTCGTTCTCGGGGCGCTTCTCCATTCCTTCCATCACCTCTAGCAGGTCATAGTGGTCGAATACATTCTCCATTCTGAAGGACCATTCAGCGAAGTTGTCGCCATTGAACTTGTCAAGCCCAAACATCGTAGGCTCATCCCTAGGCGGGCCAAGACTTGGTTGCATGGGCGCCATGGCTGAATCACGGGGTTGGCCTTGACCTTGGGCTTCTCCACTGCCACTAGCACCTCTGCCACCCCTTTCGTCAGGTCCAGCCATTGTCGAAACTGCTCCAAGAGGCTCTGATGCCACTTGTTATAGTCACAATAGGCTTGAATGTGCCTAAAACGAGAGATAGAGTGCACAGTCGGATTTCTGCACAGCGGCTTCAAACGTTGATACCGTTCTGGTCACAACTGCAAACGACTTGATTCAAATTGGATCTGGAGCGTCTTGATGTTGCCTACACGAAGCAATTTAGATTGCACGATTTCATTAAGTATTGATGACGCAACGTTGGTTTGAACGAACGGCACTATGGCAGCCACTTTAGACTTAGAACACAAATTAGGAAGAGTTGCGAGTTGGGAATGACTCCCAGCTCCTAAAAACCCCAAGAGCAGAGGTACAGTGATGTGGAACAGTGCCACACTATCCCCAACCATGAAGGGTCTCAAAAATACCCTCCACAAGGGCCTACACCAAGAGAAATGTTACACTACACAAAGTAATGTAACTATTCTCACTATCTTGAAGTTTACCCTTTTGGAGAGCTTCGAAATCACTTGATTCTTGAAACCAAGGCTCTGGTTCTTCAAGATAAATTCTTCCTTGAGTTCTTGGAATTCTGCTGCGCACACCTGCGACACACCGAACGTTCCACACACGACAAAATAGAAAAACGCACACGACACGCAAACGACGACGTGACACGCGACTAGTGATAACTCGCTATTGACTCGACACACGCATTCAAAATCATGCCTCATCATTCACACACTATTGTATGCATGAAATATATATTATCTCATGCCCTCATACCATTCCATGCACACACGCATGCACGCACACGGACAACAAGCCGAATGCAAACCGTAGGGTTGCACCAACAGGGAGCAGAGACTGGAGCACAGAACGAAGCACATTGCTCTTCGCTACTTTCTTGCTCGAGAGCTGCAGCAGCGTGGTCAGCTTCGCCTTTCTTACGTATCCTCTCGGGCTAACACTGCTGATGTCTTCACCAAGGCCCTCGGGTCTGGTGATTTTCCGCGTTTTTGCACTGCTCTTGGGCTTCTGCCCGTTCTACCTCACCTGCTTGTCTCTTGATCTTGCACTTGTACACTTATATCTATATTTATACCTGCATGTTTCCTTTTGCTATGTTGTGTTCAGTGTACTACTGCCTTGCTATTATGGCGTGTTCCTACGCCTTGTATCAAGCGAACCTCATATCGAGCTCACAATGAAAAACCTAAACCCGAAATCCTTTGCTAGTTTTACCAGGGAATTCTGATTTGAGGTTGCCTGATATGATGCGTATGAACACGCCCGTATAACTCTGCATGTGAACTGGCCTTGTGGCCGCTTGCTTGTGCTTGAATTGTGTGGTGTCCTTGAGATCAACCCTGAGCTTTGCTTTGTTTTGCTCTGTTGTCTTGCTTGACTGGTCTTGTGACCGTCTTGTTGTCCCCCACTTAGCCTATGGGGGTGTGTCAAAGTACATCTTACTTGTAGGCTTTAGTGGGGCACTCCTTATTCCCACTCTTAGTGGGGCACTCTTAGCACTTCTAGGGTTAGTACTCGTACCTCAACTCTTACTATTCCAACCATTCCTGCACAATTATTCTGACACAAAATCCGTGCAATCAATATCCTAATATGGCTAAACATTGTAAATTCTGCATCGCTTCCTATTCAGCACAATGCTGGAGTAAAAAAGAATCACATTTGGCAGAAACAATGCAGAGGTTAACACATGACACTACTTAAACTTGGGTGCTCGCCACAGAGCCTCTACCAAACTTGGAGCAACTATGCCTAGGAACTTTGGAGACTTTGACAGAGCACCACATTTGAGGCTGGTCCTTCTAGATAGCCACCACCTTTATGCTGCTCACAACCTGAACGATGAAAGAACGAGGATAGGAAGACAAGAAAGGTAAGATTTTCGCTGTGGCTGTCGTCCGTTCGACAAAAAAAGGAAAAGGGAGCTAGGAGCTAAAACAAGAGGGACTCAACATGGGCATACAAAGGGAACGGAACGGACATGAATGGAATATTAGTCTGTATGTATGGTGCAATACACCACCGCAACACGCAAAAGGGATACCCTAATCCCACCATGTTCACAACCATTAAAGGCTTGCACTCCATACGCATTACACATTACGCTTCGCTACAAAGATGCCCTGATCCCACCATGACCAATAAAGGGTTGCATTCCATTGATAACACACATATTATGATATGTTTTTATGTGCTGTGCACTAAGCTCACCTTTGTCAGTGTTTGGCTCGCTTCTTTGCTTCACTATAGAGCACCACTCCACAAATAGTGATGCCGAATCCCACCATGCCCATAACCGTTACCCGGTTACGGAACACCAAGACTGATATGATTGCTGCAACCACTCCCTTGGCATTACCCAAGACCTGCAGGGAGCGCAGGAGGAAGACAGAGGCGAGGGAGGGACGAATGCACAAAGAGAAAACAACTCATTAGGCGCCTAGAACAATATTACAGAAGGCCGGGTGTAATATGACTGCGGTAAGCGCTCCCTTGGCGTTTCCGAATGCCTGGGTACTACCAGGATGCATTACCCTTCCCCAGTTCCCCATAGAGGTGTATTTTGAGGCGCCTCAAAATACACCCCAGTTCCCCATAGCCAAATCCCCCTCGGAGGTTTTCCGGGAATATTTTTTTCATCCCCCAATATCCCCAGCTTCCCATACTCAGCATCCCAACCGCAATAGTACATACAGTCATAAACTATTATGCACTAGCACACTGGCACATACTGTTACCAACTGTCACAAAACTGTCACTAAACTGTCACAAAACTGTCATATACTGCCACATACTGTCACAATTTCTCCTCCGCCTTGATCCCAAGTCTGAATTCCACCCTGATTCCACCACTTCCTTCCCTGTGTATTTTGAGTCGACTCAAAACATACGTCTGTTTTTCGCCCCCGTTTATTCGACTACAAACTGAACCCAACTCCTGCAAAACCCCCAAACTCACCCCTGCATGAACGCAAACCCCTGAATATCAGACAAGTATTTCTTGTCCTACCCCTGCTAAATGTAAAAATTCGCCCTTTATTGTCACAATATCCCCTTCATCGTCACAATCCTCTTCTGATTGTCACAATTCCTCCCCTCCTCTCACCCCTCCCCCATTAATTCAACACATAAACTGGTGCTAATGGTGAGAAGTGCTGTGTTTCAAACCTCAAGGCGCTTTGCAAACTGTAACCAGAAAGTCGGTCAGGTTCTTGAAGGGAAAACAGAAGATTTTTGTCACCAACACCCTCCCTCTCATTTTTGGCACCCCCTCTCCGCCTCATTTTTGGTAAGAACCCAAACCCCCCGAGGCCCGCCCTCTTCCCTTCCCGCTCTTTCCCCAGCCCACCTCACCATCTCTTCTTCCTCCCCCTACAATATCAAACCCCATTCCACTCAACCCACTCCCCACTCCCCATCCCTCACCTCCCTCCCCTCACTCTCACCTGAGAAGTATGCATGCTGGTGTGCTTGGTAACCATGAATTTCATGAGGTTCGTGAACGGTAATAGAGCTACACTCGTTAACATGTTACAGCCTCTCCCCGATTCTTCCTCCCCTCCTCTCCCCCCCCCTCTTCCTCCTTTTCCCCCTCCCTTTGCCCCTCTCACCTGAAGAGTAAGCGCGCTGGTGTGCTTAGTAACCAGAAAATTCGTCAAATTCGTGAAGTAGGCGAATGCAGCATTCGCCACCAGGTACACCAGAATCCACGGAGACTCCCTCGCTTTTGCCACCACCACCGCCAGCACATTCCCCTCTATAAACAGACTCGCTGGAAGCAGCATCACCACCGCGAGCGGCGACATGTACAGCAGCAGGTTCATCGAGTGTAGTTTCTCACTATCACTCGTTAGAAGCAGCCCCTGTACAACGGATTTCAGCGCCCGAGCAGCAGTAGACGCGAAGCACATTATCACGCCGAGAAGGTGAAAGGAAGGTTCCGAGTTGCTGGCTATGACTATGCCCAGGACGACTGGAACGAGCGTGAGATAGGTGGTGGCTGCTTCGGTGCGAAAGGTGATGATGACGACGAATAGGGCAGTGAAGGCCGGAGTTGTGGCTCCAATCGCCTGGAGAGGGGGGAGGGGAAGGGTGGGGGGACACAGGAGGGGGACAGGGTGAGAAGGTGTTGGGGCCTTCAGTTGTTTGAGAAGGTGATGATGACGACGAATAGGGCAGTGAAGGCCGGAGTTGTGGCTCTGATTGCCTGGAGAAGAGGGTAAGGGAGGAATGGAATGAAAGAGGGGGAAGGGGTTTGGTATGGGTGAGATAGGTGGTGGCTGTGTCGGTGCGAAAAGGTGATGATGACAACGAATAGGGCGGTGAAGGCTGGGGTTGTGGCTCCGATTACCTGGAGAAGATGGGGAAAGGGAGGAAGGAGGAACACAGGAAAGGGACAAGGGGAAAAGGGGTTTGGCATGGGTGAGATAGGTGGTGGCTGCTTCGGTGCGAAAGTTAATGATGACAACAACGAATAGAGCGGTGAAGGCTGGGGTTGTGTCGCCAATTGCCTGGAAAGAGGGAGGGTGAGGGAGGGAAAGAGGGGAAAGGGTTCGGTTTGGGTGGGTAGGTGGTGGTGGGATACGTTTGGACGGTCATGATGACGACTAATAGGCCATTGAAGGCTGGGGTTGTGGCGCTGATTGCATGGAGATGGGAGAAGAGAGGGTGGGGAGGGGGCGGGTTTTGGGGGGAGGACGGGGGACCGGGGGGGGGGGGGAAGGGGGTTTGGGGAAGAGGAGGGGATTTGGGGGAAGACGAGGGGGCTAGTGGGAAAGAGGGAAGCATGGGAAGGTGAGAGAGGAGGCGGGGGGATCACAGCAGGGGTTCAATGCCTGCTACCAGGGGTTCAATGCCTGCTACCAGGGGTTCAATGCCTGCTACCAGGGGTTCAATGCCTGCTACCAGGGGTTCAATGCCTGCTACCAGGGGTTCAATGCCTGCTACCAGGGGTTCAATGCCTGCTACCAGGGGTTCAATGCCTGCTACCAGGGGTTCAATGCCTGCTACCAGGGGTTCAATGCCTGCTACCAGGGGTTCCGAAGCAGCATAGGGCGGCGAGAGGAGGTGCTACAAATATCCACGAATTTGGGGAGGGGAGGGAGAGAGATGGGGGGAAGAAGGAAAGGCGATAGGGGGGAGATCGCAGCAGGGGTTCTGAAGCGGTTTAGGGCGGTGAACGGTAGTGTTGTGGCTAGATTTGCCCAGGGAAGTGGGGAGGGGTGGGAGAGAGAGGGGGGAGGAGGAGGGGGGAGGAAGGGTGGAGAGGAAAAGGACAAGGGAGAAGGGACAGGGGAAAGGGGGATGGAAGGGGAAAACGGGGTGATAGAGGAATGGAGGTGGCAGGGGAAAAAGGAGTAGGTGAGATGGGGGTAGGTGGTGAGTGGTCCGAATGCGGTGGGGGTAGGTGGTGAGGGGTGGCATGGGAGAGGGTTTGGGATGGGCCCAAGAATTTACAAGTGGTATGGGTCCGGAATTACCACGAGGGTTTGGTGTGAGTCCGGAAATTTACATATAAAGGGTTTGGTATGGTCCTAGGACGAACGTGTTGTTATGTTCGGTGGAAAGGGGATGGGACGAGAGGAAAGAGGGGGTTGAGGGAGAGAGGAGGGGGGAAGAGAGTGGGGCAGGACGAGGGAGAGGACGCGGGGAAGGGGCGAGAATAGAAATAGCGGACGTATACTAGAGTAGCACGGGCATGGTGCGAGCTTCGAACTACAAGTTCTCAGCTTCAAACAAATTTTTTATTGTTTATATTCTATTTTTTAACTGTTTACGGTCAAAACTTTGGTGTAATTTGCGAACAGTATGGCGGGTTGGGGGGACATGTTACCCTGTTACCGCAGCTTACCGAGTTCAAAGAGACTGGCAGGCACTCCCTGGTATTAAGGACATACTTCGTTTGCTTAAACCTGGTTGAAACTGCGCTGAGAAGGCATACCTGGTTGAAGGAGACGGGGATGTATCTGAGCGACATGTTCCCGCAGACGACGGAGAAGCAGAAGATCGCGGAGAGCATGGCAATCTTGAGCATCTGACGTGGCGACGAGATGAACTGCATCGGGACAACCTCGAAGCGGTCTATAGCGACGTAACTAAAAGTGCAGCAAGCGCACATGTGGCAGAGCGTTAGAAACACCGGGTAACGGAACCCGTAACTCGATAGAAGAAACTTGTTTAGAAGCAACACGCCGATGTTGCTACAGTACCAGGAAAACACGATCAGTGCGGTAGTAGCGCCGGGGGATAGTTGCGGCCATGAGCTATTAGCGGGGAGGCCTAAAGTGGGGATGGGTAAGGCAGAGGAGAGCTTATACGGGGAGCTCGGGGAATTTGGAACGCCGCCTCCGCCGCCGCCGCCAGCGGTGCTATTTAACGGTCGTTCTTCCTCCTTACTGCTCTCTTCTGAGTCTACTTGCGCCTCGGGATCTTCCTTCTCGTCGATTCGCCGATACGGCGCCGCAGCGCTCGGCATGGTGACCTAATTTAGTCTAGATCGTTCGCAACCTAATTTAGTCTGTTCTCTTATCAAAAGTTGACCGTATCGGCGCGGTGCGGGTTCTATTTTAGGAGCCAAACAACGACCTGAGAGGGAACGCTGATCTGCCGATCAAAGCGACGGCGATGGATCGTAGGCAGCGCGACGCGACTCCGAGCAATTTAGCTGGTATTTAACTACGAGCGCGCTCTCCATCTGCTGATATGCGCTCTCTCCATGTAGGCGGACGGCGTAGAAAAAAAAAAAGGGGACCCGACGGTGTCTTTTGAAGGATTTGTTGGACAAGCAGGCTGCTGCTAATGGCCGTGAAGCAAGGTGTTGCCTTGTTGACGAACCTGAAAGAGGTAACGACGGGGATTTAGGGATTGCCGTGAGACACATTTCATCGTGTTTCAACGGCAGATCACTTGTGAAAATGCTTGTTTTACTCAGCTTTTATTTTTTTCGTCATTTTGATACAACAAGCAGAACGGATCAAGGCGAAATGCGAACCTGAAATCAAGGCGGAAACCCAACCTGAAGCGCGTATATTTTTAAGTTGAATCAGAAGTCACCTCCTGGAAATGAAGCTCGCTCGGCAGCGACGGAGTTAGCAAATGTATCCCGTCCCGATTGCTAGATAGGAAAAAGCTTGGTGAACAATGCGGACTCAAGTGGGCTTCTGTCGTCACCTAAGGAGAAGCGACGCTGCGGGGAAAGAAGGTATGCTTCAAGCTTGCAAAAAGAGATCGAGGGACATGGTTTTCGAATACTACAGGCGTAAGGAGGTGGTTGGTGCTGGTTATTCTTCGAAGTTGGTCGAGAATGGTGTTTATTCTGCACTGAACCCCCTAGACTCTGTGTCCTAGGTAGGTGAAGATATACCTTGGAGATAGGTTGATGCTGTAGTGCCTGGCGCGTACTTTTCCAGGTGTTATACCTGGTTCAGCGTTACATGTAGAGGGATAAATAACGGTAAACATCGGTTTCACATGGTTTGTTACATTTGAAGGCGTTTAAGAAAGGCAGTGTACCACATATACAGCAATGTGAAGTGAAACGGGAGTGAAATCTAGGGCAGTTCCCAAGGCAGGGGGGAACCGAACCGGCGCACACAGTTCCGAACGGGTGCAATCAAGCACCGCTGCTGCAATCCCCGATGCGCTTGTTAGGGGAACGGGGGAATTGCAGGGAGAAGCGGGTGGTGCATTTCACATGCCCCTACCGACAAGGAGCTGCCTGGCGTACATTTCTTGTCTCAATCACATGAGGTGCTCTGTTGCAGCCGTGGATGTCGTGCCATGCCATGCATGCCCGTTTGTGATGCTGCGCGTAGGATGCGCAAGTGGTTTGCAGCTTCCATCACTCTCGGGCACGAATCGAGTGCGACGCGCGGTGTCGGGAACGCTGGTTGGTTGAATTGGTGGCAGATTGGATGTTGAGGCTTACGTGGCAGCCATGCAATTGGTTCACTGCGTAGACCCACCAAACCAAGATGAGCAGAAAAGTGGCCAAAGATACTGCGAGCCTCGTTATTCTTCGCTAATCGTCTCTTTTTGACGACCGACGTCCACTATCGCATCGCACATCCAACCAGGAGCCCTTCAGGACCGTTCACTAGCCTGGACGCTGCGCATCCAACAGAGGGGGATCATAGTTACCACCACCAGGGTGGCATCTTCGAGCTTTCTACAGTGGATGTCGCGGTTCGGATCTCAGCATTCTCTACTATCCAACAAAAGCCACGTGTGCTTTTGCGACCATGGCACCTGATCGGCATCAAATGGAGGCGCAGTGGTGTGTAACTGCCCAAAAGTCCCACCTGAAGCTGAACGAGTGTCGCAAAAGTCGCCTGTAACAACCTCACCAAGTACCGACTTGTCTCTGCATCTCAACACCCTACAAAACAAAAGAAAACGTACCATAAATTTGCATTGAAACATTTTTATGGAATGCACCTCGGCAATTGAACAAAACTGCCACAAGAGTCGTGATCAATGCTTGATGTGCAATGTTTGCATTTTTTCAGCTCAACCACATTGTGTTCAGGTAATCTAAATGCAATGAAGCACAAAAAAAGAGCCCGCACTTCACAGCACAGTATCTCATCTTATGCTTCCTTCCTGTGTTAGATAGTGCTGACAAGTGGCAGTCTATCTTGAGCAGACTCAACAGTACAATGGTTAGCCATTGCCAATGATCGAAACTGAGAGCCCTAAATTTGCACAACAAAGCAATATGATCCAAATGTGGTCCTTCAAATGGGGTTGTCTTGACCATCTGTCACTGTAATGGTCCTCCCTCCTACGCCCCTCCCTTTGCTCTCCCCTCTCCTCTTTTTACAACCTTACATCGTCGTCACACACACCGAAGCACAGGCTTCATGGCAGCACAGGCATGCTTCTTCTTCACCAGCTTTCAACCATCACTGGCGCTACTGCTCTTGACACACAACCCCCTCCGCTCCTCCCCTTGCCTTGCGTTACAACCTTGGCACACACCGTGGCACTGGTCTCATGGCAGCACGGGCATGCTTCTTATCTCCACCCCCTCCCTCCCTCAACCATCTATCACCAGCTTTCAACCATCACTGGCGCTACTGCTCTTGGCACACAACCCCCTCCGCTCCTGCTCCTCCCTCTCCTCGCTTCCCAACCTTCCGTCGTCGCCTCATGCACCGAAGCACAGGCATCATGGCAGCGCGGGCATGATACCTCACCAGCTTTCAACCATCACTGGCGCTACTGCTCTTGCCACACAACCCCCTCCACAACCGCAGTCTTCCTATCCTTGTGTCGTCGTCGCACACATCGGGGCACGGGCCTCATGGCAGCACGGGCATGCTTCCTCACCAGCTCTTGTCAGTATCGCTGGCAACGTCACAGGAGCTACTGCTCTTGGCACACAGCCCCCTCCACATCCGCAGTCTTCCCAACCTTCCGCCGTCGCCGCACACAACGTGGCACGGGCCTCATGGCAGCACGGGCATGCTTCCTCACCAGCTCAGCCAGCCAGCCTTGGCCCATCACACCAAGAGAGGTCATAATGTCTCTAGGGTCAAGGGAAAGTATGATCCCTCGAGGGTCTAAAGCCTCTTTCACCTCCCCCTGAAACCTTGAACCAACCTTTTGAACCTCCTCACAACCAGCTGTCTCCCCTCCCTGCAATCCCAGTTCCCCATTCCCCTCAACCTCCTTCGATCCTCTCCGCCTCTTCGCCTCCCTTTCACTAAACAGCATCTCCTGCTGCTGTGCCCTCTTTTTCTCTTTCTTGCTATCCTTCACCTTGTCACGTGCCCCCTCATCCTCCTCCCTTTCACTAAAAATCACCTCCTGCTGCTGTGCCCTCTTATTCTCCTTCTCACGAAGCATCACTTCGTCCTCTGCCCCCTCATTCTCCTTCTTGGAAGATCCCGTTGTTGCATGGGGCTCTGGGCTCCCCTTCTCCTCCCTTTCATGAAGCATCCTCTCCTGCTGTGCCCTCTTATTCTCCTTCTCATGAAGCATCACTTCGTCCTCTGCCCCCTCATTCTCCTTCTTGGAAGATCCCGTTGTTGCATGGGGCTCTGGGCTCCCCTTCTCCTCCCTTTCCTGAAGCATCCTCTCCTGCTGTGCCCTCTTATTCTCCTTCTCACGAAGCATCACTTCGTCCTCTGCCCCCTCATTCTCCTTCTTGGAAGATTCCATGGTATGGCTGCTCCTCCTTTGCTCCAAGGCCAGTCGCTCGCTGCGAGTGGCGGGCACAGAGCGCAGCCACCACTGCAGCTCCTCCGTGCCTGCACTCGGTACAGTCACACCCACTAAGGTCGCATCTGCACTCCGTACAGTCACACCTGCAACAGACGCATCTGCTAAGGTCACACCTGCTAAGGTCGCATCTGCACTCTGTAATGTTAAAATTGCTGATGTTTCTGCTGCTGCTGCTCGTGGTGGTGCTGCTGCTCGTGGTGCTGGTGCTGGTGTTTCTGCTGGTACTGCTGCTGCTGCTGCTGCTGCTGCTGCTGCTGCTGCTGCTGCTGCTGGTGTTGTCTTTGCTGTTGCTGCTGCTGGGGTTTCTGTTGGTGCTGCTGCTAATGTTTCTGGTGGTGCTGCTGCTGGTGTTTCTGTTGGTGCTTCTGCCGGTGCTGCTGCCGCTGGTGCTTCTGCTGGTGCTGCTGCTGGTGTTTCTGCTGTTGCTGCTGGTGTATTTTCTGCTGGTGCCGCTGCCGCTGCTGGTGTTTCTGCTAAAGCTGCTGCTTGCTTTTCTGCTAATGCAGCTGCTTGGTTTTCTGCTGGTACTGCTGCTGGTGTTTCTGCTGGTGCTTCTGGTGGTGGCGCTGCTGCTGGTGCTTCTGCTGGTGCTCCTGCTGCTGGTGCTTCTGGTGGTGCTGTTGCTGGTGCTTCTGCTGGTGCTACAGCTTGTTTTTCCGCTGGTGTTTCTGATGGTGCTGCTGCTGGTGTTTCTGCTGGTGTTTCTGATGGTGTTGCTGCTACTGTTTTTGCTGGTTTTTCTGCTGGTGCTGCCGCTGGTTTTTCTGCTGGTGCTATTTCTCGTGTTTCTGGTGGTGCTGCTGCTGGTGCTTCTGGTGGTGGTGCTGCCATTGTTTCTTCTGGTGCTGCTGCCACTGTTTCTGCTGGTGCTGCTGCTGGTTTTTCTGCCGGTGCTGCTGCCGTTTCTTCTGCTGGTGCTGTTGTTGCTGGCGGCGCTGCTGGTGCTGCTGCTGTTGCTGCTATTTCTGCTGCAACTTTTGCTGTTGCTGCTTCTGCTGCTGCTGCTGGTGCTGATGCTGTTGGTACAGCTGGTGCTGCTGTCGGTACTAGTGCAGTCGTTGCTGCAGCAGCATCTGCCATTCCTGCTGCATCTGCTGTTCCTGCCACAGCTTCCGGTGACAAAACCACCGTTTCTGCTTCTGCACCAGCTGAGTTTCCTGCAATGCCTACAGCTGCTGCTGCTGCTGCTGCTGCTGCTGCTGCTGCTAATGCTGGTGCTGCTGCTGCTCCGATCGCTGTTGCCGTTTCTGCCACAGCCACTGCTGGTGCTGCCACCCCAGTTGCTGCTGCTGCTGCAGCATCTGCCAATCCTGCTGCATCTAATGCCGCTGGTGCTGCTGCAACAGGTTCTATTCCCGCGATCGAAGCAGCATGCACCAGGAAGGAAGGAACCCATCCACCCCCACCATGCCCAGCCTTAGCAGGCGGTGCGAGGGGGAGGGGAGGGTGGAGATCAGGGCCAGCTGCCGAATGATCTGTGATGGGGGGAGATCGTTCAGGAGTGGAGACGGAGGTTAAGGCGGGGTAAGTGTCTCGCCAGCAACCCATCTGCTTGACGTACGATGGGGGGTTGCACCAGGAAGGAAGGGACCCATCCACCCCCACAATGCCCAGCCTCAGCAGGCGGTGCGAGTGTGTGTATGTCTGTGTCTGGGTGTGGGGGGTAGATAACCCTGTAAAGCCAGCAGCATGCACCAGGAAGGAAGGGACCCATCCACCCCCACCATGCCCAGCCTCAGCAAACGGTGGGAAGGGGAGGGGAGTGTTGGGGTCCGGGCGAGCTGCGGAATGCTCTGTTGTGGATGGAGAGGTGGAAGGGGACGGGGAGTGTTGGGGTCCGGGCGAGCTGCGGAATGCTCTGTTGTGGATGGAGAGGTGGAAGGGGACGGGGAGTGTTGGGGTCCGGGCGAGCTGCGGAATGCTCTGTTGTGGATGGAGAGGTGGAAGGGGACGGGGAGTGTTGGGGTCCGGGCGAGCTGCGGAATGCTCTGTTGTGGATGGAGAGGTGGAAGGGGACGGGGAGTGTTGGGGTCCGGGCGAGCTGCGGAATGCTCTGTTGTGGATGGAGAGGTGGAAGGGGACGGGGAGTGTTGGGGTCCGGGCGAGCTGCGGAATGCTCTGTTGTGGATGGAGAGGTGGAAGGGGACGGGGAGTGTTGGGGTCCGGGCGAGCTGCGGAATGCTCTGTTGTGGATGGAGAGGTGGAAGGGGACGGGGAGTGTTGGGGTCCGGGCGAGCTGCGGAATGCTCTGTTGTGGATGGAGAGGTGGAAGGGGACGGGGAGTGTTGGGGTCCGGGCGAGCTGCGGAATGCTCTGTTGTGGATGGAGAGGTGGAAGGGGACGGGGAGTGTTGGGGTCCGGGCGAGCTGCGGAATGCTCTGTTGTGGATGGAGAGGTGGAAGGGGACGGGGAGTGTTGGGGTCCGGGCGAGCTGCGGAATGCTCTGTTGTGGATGGAGAGGTGGAAGGGGACGGGGAGTGTTGGGGTCCGGGCGAGCTGCGGAATGCTCTGTTGTGGATGGAGAGGTGGAAGGGGACGGGGAGTGTTGGGGTCCGGGCGAGCTGCGGAATGCTCTGTTGTGGATGGAGAGGTGGAAGGGGACGGGGAGTGTTGGGGTCCGGGCGAGCTGCGGAATGCTCTGTTGTGGATGGAGAGGTGGAAGGGGACGGGGAGTGTTGGGGTCCAGGCGAGCTGCGGAATGCTCTGTTGTGGATGGAGAGGTGGAAGGGGACGGGGAGTGTTGGGGTCCGGGCGAGCTGCGGAATGCTCTGTTGTGGATGGAGAGGTGGAAGGGGACGGGGAGTGTTGGGGTCCGGGCGAGCTGCGGAATGCTCTGTTGTGGATGGAGAGGTGGAAGGGGACGGGGAGTGTTGGGGTCCGGGCGAGCTGCGGAATGCTCTGTTGTGGATGGAGAGGTGGAAGGGGACGGGGAGTGTTGGGGTCCGGGCGAGCTGCGGAATGCTCTGTTGTGGATGGAGAGGTGGAAGGGGACGGGGAGTGTTGGGGTCCGGGCGAGCTGCGGAATGCTCTGTTGTGGATGGAGAGGTGGAAGGGGACGGGGAGTGTTGGGGTCCGGGCGAGCTGCGGAATGCTCTGTTGTGGATGGAGAGGTGGAAGGGGACGGGGAGTGTTGGGGTCCGGGCGAGCTGCGGAATGCTCTGTTGTGGATGGAGAGGTGGAAGGGGACGGGGAGTGTTGGGGTCCGGGCGAGCTGCGGAATGCTCTGTTGTGGATGGAGAGGTGGAAGGGGACGGGGAGTGTTGGGGTCCGGGCGAGCTGCGGAATGCTCTGTTGTGGATGGAGAGGTGGAAGGGGACGGGGAGTGTTGGGGTCCGGGCGAGCTGCGGAATGCTCTGTTGTGGATGGAGAGGTGGAAGGGGACGGGGAGTGTTGGGGTCCGGGCGAGCTGCGGAATGCTCTGTTGTGGATGCCCTTCCATGCCTACAAACAATGCCAAGCCTCAGCCCCATGATGCCTCAGCATACTCACATGGTACTTTTGAGACGTCTCAAAACTCGTCTCAAGAGACGTCTAAACAATGATGCCTCAGCATACTCACATGGTACATCCACGCTGGCAGCGACACCTGGCACTGCGTCAGCCCGCCACGTGGATCTCCTCTCTCCTCCTCACTGCCATGTGAGGTAAGCAAGGGTTGTGTGGTCCTCTCGAGAACAGCAGAACACAATGAGGGGCGGACGTGAAAAGGCTCGTCAGGAATTGTTCTAACACAGATGCTGCTCATGTGACAGATGCTGCTGCTGGTGGTTTCTCTGCTGCTGTTGCTGCTCCTGTACTTGGTTCCTCCGCTCATCTGCCTGTTCACCTGCCCGTTCGTGAGACTGTCTGTTGAGGGTAGGGATGCAGCTGTGGGATCAAAAGCAGGAGGTTCTGCTGCAGGCTCCTGTGCTACAGCTGGTGCTACAGACGCCTCTGCTACAGGCACTGCTACAGCTGATGATACAGGTGGTGCTACAGCCAGTGCTACAGCTGGTATTACAGCTGATGCCACAGGCACCTCTGCTACAGGCGCCGCTGCAGATGCTGCTGCAGGCACCATTGAAGGTGGTGCCACAGGCACCTCTGCTACAGCTGATGCTACAGGCGCTGGTACAGGCACCTCTGCCGATGATGCTGCTACAGGTGGTGCTGCTGATGGTGTTGCTGTGACAGCAGGAGGTGGCGAGCAGAGGTGCAGCAGGTGCAGGCGTAGGGCCTTCACAAGGGGCTGATGGGGGAATGAAGACCAGGGGAAGGGGGAAAAAGGAGGGGGGAAAGGAGGGGTGGAAGGAGGAAAGGATGGAACAGTGAGGGAAAGCAGGAAGGTAAGGAGCAGAGGTGCAGCAGGTGCAGGCGTAGGGCCTTCACAAGGGACTGATGGGAGGGGATGGTGGTGGTTGGGGGTATGAGGAGAAAAGAGGGTTCAGGAGGTGAACAGGGAGGACTTTTAAGAATTCCGCTCACTTGACATTTGTTCACACCAATAGAGGGTTCAGGAGGTGAACAGGGAGGGAAAGCAGAGAAAGAGAGTAGGAAGGTGGGGAGCAGAGGTGCAGCAGGTGCAGGCACAGGGCCTTCACAAGGGGCTGAGAGGGGAATGGGGGGATGACAGTGAGGGGTAGGCGGGCACAAGAGGTGGTGCAGACATCACAGCGGATAGAGCTTGCTGTGTTGTGCTGTGCCCCAACTTGCAAGAGACCCTCAGTAAGAGGGGTATCCAGGCACGTGAGGTGGTGCAGTGCGGTGGAGATGTTACACTACATGAAACCCCAACATCACCACGTCTGACTGGAGAATGTCTGTTGGCCCGATGACGGTGAGAGGTAACCAGGAGCATGAGGTGATGCACGCAGGGGCACAGCGGATAGACCCTGCTGTATTGTGCAAGGTGGAGTGCGGTGCAAAAGCCACATGACACAGTACATGCATGACACCTCCAAGCTCACCACGTCTGACTGGAGAATGTCCGTTGGGCCGATGACAGTCAAAGGCAGACGAGCACATGAAGTGGTGCAGTTGTCACAGCGGATAGAGCCTGCTGTGCTGTGCTGTGCCCCACCTTACATTAAAACGAACCCCCCACCCCATCTCACCACGTCTGACTGTAAAACATCTGCTGGGCTGATGACAGTGAGGGGTAGGCGAGCACACGAGTTGGTGCAGACGTCACAGCGGATGGAGCCTGCTGTGCTGTGGCCCACCTTACAAGCGACCTTCAGTAAGAGGGGTATCCAGGCACATGAAGTGCTGCAGTGCGGTGTGGATGTTACAGTACACGACACCAAGACCTCACCACGTCTGATTGTAAGATGTCAGTTGGGCCGATGACAGTCAAAGGCAACCGGGCACACGAGGTGGTGCAGACGTCACAGCGGATGGAGCCTGCAGTGTGGTATGCTGGAGGGTGCATGGCCTGGGGAAGGGGGGACCTGGGGGGGGTTGAACCGAAAGAGGAACAAAACAGGAGCAGGAATGTCAGTTGGGCTGATCGCCTTCAGGGGTAGATGGGTGCATAGGGTGGTGCAGACACCACAGCGGATAGAGCCTGCTGTGTGATAGGCTGGAGGGTGCATGGCCTGGGGGAGGGGGGATCTGGGGAAGGGGAAGGGGAAGGGGAAGGGGAAGGGGAAGGGGGAGGGGGAGGGGAAGGGGAAGGGGAAGGGGAAGGGGAAGGGGAAGGGGAAGGGGAAGGGGAAGGGGAAGGGGAAGGGGAAGGGGAAGGGGAAGGGGAAGGGGAAGGGGAAGGGATTGCAACCAGGGATGCAAGGACGAGGTGAGGTTGAGGTTGAGGTTGAGGTTGAGGTTGAGGTTGAGGTTGAGGTTGCGGTTGAGGTTGAGGTTGAGGTTGAGGTTGCGGTTGAGGTTGAGGTTGAGGTTGAGGTTGCGGTTGAGGTTGAGGTTGAGGTTGAGGTTGAGGTTGAGGTTGAGGTTGAGGTTGAGGTTGAGGTTGAGGTTGAGGTTGAGGTTGCAGACACCACAGCGGATGGAAAAGCACTCTGATATGCCACAGGGTGTGCATGGCCTGGGGGAGGGGAGACCTCGGGAGGGTCGAACCAGAGCAACAAGAAAGGTGCAAAGAGGGAGGGAGACGTCACAGCGGATGGAGCCTGCTGTTTAATAGGCCGGAGGGTGCATGGACTGGGGGAGCGGGGACCTGAGGAAGGGTAGAACCGGAAGAGGAAACAGAACGCAGGAGCAGCTGGGCAGATCAAGGGGTATCGCCACAAGGAATAGACGGGTGCATGAGGTGGTGCAGGTGTCACAGCGGATAGACCCTGCACTCTGATATGCTGGCGGGTGCATGGCCTGGGGGAGGGGGGACCTGGGAAAGAGGGGGTTGGGGGGTGGAACCAGGGATGCAAGGAGGAGGTGAGGGGAAGACGTCAGAGCAGTAGGAGCCCGTTGTTTGATACGCTGGCAGGAAGGTGCATGGCATGTGGGAGGGGGGACCTGGGGAAGGGTAGAACCAGGGATGGAAGGGGCCGCTGGGAGGGAGGGAGGGAGGGAGGGAGGGAGGGAGGGAGGGAGGGAGGGAGGGAGGGAGGGAGGGAGGGGGACGGTGGGTGGGAGGAAGGGAGGGAGGAGGCGAAGCATTAAAAATTGTTGCAGATTGTGACAAGCATCTCAACACAGCACAGCACCGCACAGCACCGTATCGTGAGCACCTTACCATGTACCACCTACAGAACAACAAGGCACCACAGCCCCACAGAGCACAGCACCACACAGCACCACACAGCACTAAACAAACTCACCCGAGCTTGTGCACGATTCGCAGGCCTCGAACCTGGGAGTGGGACAAGAGGAATGAGGGGCACGATCGAAAGCACAATGCCAGATGAAAATCGTGTGGGTTCCTTGGAAAGCACAAAACACAAAGCACAATACACAAAGCACAAAACACAAAGCACAATACACAAAACACAAAACACATAACACAAAACACAAAACACAAAACACAATAAACAAAACACAAAACACAATACACAAAACACAATACACAAAACACCAACTTCCTTAGCTCGGGCTACTGTGTCTCACATCCGTCCGTACTAAGGAGTGCTACAGACAACACTGCCCCTCTCTCACCTCGAACTGTACTAGAGACAGCAGGCCACGGGCAATAGTGGCGGCATCAGAGGGACCCTGAGCAGTATTGGGGTAAGGGCAGCACTCAACCTCTCTTTCACGCTCACCTCGAACTGTACTAGAGACAGCAGCCCACGGGCAATAGTGGCGGCATCAGAGGGACCCTGAGCAGTATTGGGGTAAGGGCAGCACTCAACCTCTCTTTCACGCTCACCTCGAACTGTACTAGAGACAGCAGCCCACGGGCAATAGTGGCGGCATCAGAGGGACCCTGAGCAGTATTGGGGTAAGGGCAGCACTCAACCTCTCTTTCACGCTCACCTCCAACTGTACTAGAGACAGCAGCCCACGGGCAATAGTGGCGGCATCAGAGGGACCCTCAGCAGTATTGGGGTAAGGGCAGCACTCAACCTCTCTTTCACGCTCACCTCGAACTGTACTAGAGACAGCAGCCCACGGGCAATAGTGGCGGCATCAGAGGGACCCTGAGCAGTATTGGGGTAAGGGCAGCACTCAACCTCTCTTTCACGCTCACCTCCAACTGTACTAGAGACAGCAGCCCACGGGCAATAGTGGCGGCATCAGAGGGACCCTGAGCAGTATTGGGGTAAGGGCAGCACTCAACCTCTCTTTCACGCTCACCTCGAACTGTACTAGAGACAGCAGCCCACGGGCAATAGTGGCGGCATCAGAGGGACCCTGAGCAGTATTGGGGTAAGGGCAGCACTCAACCTCTCTTTCACGCTCACCTCCAACTGTACTAGAGACAGCAGCCCACGGGCAATAGTGGCGGCATCAGAGGGACCCTGAGCAGTATTGGGGTAAGGGCAGCACTCAACCTCTCTTTCACGCTCACCTCGAACTGTACTAGAGACAGCAGCCCACGGGCAATAGTGGCGGCATCAGAGGGACCCTGAGCAGTATTGGGGTAAGGGCAGCACTCAACCTCTCTTTCACGCTCACCTCCAACTGTACTAGAGACAGCAGCCCACGGGCAATAGTGGCGGCATCAGAGGGACCCTGAGCAGTATTGGGGTAAGGGCAGCACTCAACCTCTCTTTCACGCTCACCTCGAACTGTACTAGAGACAGCAGCCCACGGGCAATAGTGGCGGCATCAGAGGGACCCTGAGCAGTATTGGGGTAAGGGCAGCACTCAACCTCTCTTTCACGCTCACCTCCAACTGTACTAGAGACAGCAGCCCACGGGCAATAGTGGCGGCATCAGAGGGACCCTGAGCAGTATTGGGGTAAGGGCAGCACTCAACCTCTCTTTCACGCTCACCTCGAACTGTACTAGAGACAGCAGCCCACGGGCAATAGTGGCGGCATCAGAGGGACCCTGAGCAGTATTGGGGTAAGGGCAGCACTCAACCTCTCTTTCACGCTCACCTCGAACTGTACTAGAGACAGCAGCCCACGGGCAATAGTGGCGGCATCAGAGGGACCCTGAGCAGTATTGGGGTAAGGGCAGCACTCAACCTCTCTTTCACGCTCACCTCGAACTGTACTAGAGACAGCAGCCCACGGGCAATAGTGGCGGCATCAGAGGGACCCTGAGCAGTATTGGGGTAAGGGCAGCACTCAACCTCTCTTTCACGCTCACCTCGAACTGTACTAGAGACAGCAGCCCACGGGCAATAGTGGCGGCATCAGAGGGACCCTGAGCAGTATTGGGGTAAGGGCAGCACTCAACCTCTCTTTCACGCTCACCTCCAACTGTACTAGAGACAGCAGCCCACGGGCAATAGTGGCGGCATCAGAGGGACCCTGAGCAGTATTGGGGTAAGGGCAGCACTCAACCTCTCTTTCACGCTCACCTCGAACTGTACTAGAGACAGCAGCCCACGGGCAATAGTGGCGGCATCAGAGGGACCCTGAGCAGTATTGGGGTAAGGGCAGCACTCAACCTCTCTTTCACGCTCACCTCCAACTGTACTAGAGACAGCAGCCCACGGGCAATAGTGGCGGCATCAGAGGGACCCTGAGCAGTATTGGGGTAAGGGCAGCACTCAACCTCTCTTTCACGCTCACCTCCAACTGTACTAGAGACAGCAGCCCACGGGCAATAGTGGCGGCATCAGAGGGACCCTGAGCAGTATTGGGGTAAGGGCAGCACTCAACCTCTCTTTCACGCTCACCTCCAACTGTACTAGAGACAGCAGCCCACGGGCAATAGTGGCGGCATCAGAGGGACCCTGAGCAGTATTGGGGTAAGGGCAGCACTCAACCTCTCTTTCACGCTCACCTCGAACTGTACTAGAGACAGCAGCCCACGGGCAATAGTGGCGGCATCAGAGGGACCCTGAGCAGTATTGGGGTAAGGGCAGCACTCAACCTCTCTTTCACGCTCACCTCCAACTGTACTAGAGACAGCAGCCCACGGGCAATAGTGGCGGCATCAGAGGGACCCTGAGCAGTATTGGGGTAAGGGCAGCACTCAACCTCTCTTTCACGCTCACCTCGAACTGTACTAGAGACAGCAGCCCACGGGCAATAGTGGCGGCATCAGAGGGACCCTGAGCAGTATTGGGGTAAGGGCAGCACTCAACCTCTCTTTCACGCTCACCTCGAACTGTACTAGAGACAGCAGCCCACGGGCAATAGTGGCGGCATCAGAGGGACCCTGAGCAGTATTGGGGTAAGGGCAGCACTCAACCTCTCTTTCACGCTCACCTCGAACTGTACTAGAGACAGCAGCCCACGGGCAATAGTGGCGGCATCAGAGGGACCCTGAGCAGTATTGGGGTAAGGGCAGCACTCAACCTCTCTTTCACGCTCACCTCCAACTGTACTAGAGACAGCAGCCCACGGGCAATAGTGGCGGCATCAGAGGGACCCTGAGCAGTATTGGGGTAAGGGCAGCACTCAACCTCTCTTTCACGCTCACCTCGAACTGTACTAGAGACAGCAGCCCACGGGCAATAGTGGCGGCATCAGAGGGACCCTGAGCAGTATTGGGGTAAGGGCAGCACTCAACCTCTCTTTCACGCTCACCTCCAACTGTACTAGAGACAGCAGCCCACGGGCAATAGTGGCGGCATCAGAGGGACCCTGAGCAGTATTGGGGTAAGGGCAGCACTCAACCTCTCTTTCACGCTCACCTCGAACTGTACTAGAGACAGCAGCCCACGGGCAATAGTGGCGGCATCAGAGGGACCCTGAGCAGTATTGGGGTAAGGGCAGCACTCAACCTCTCTTTCACGCTCACCTCGAACTGTACTAGAGACAGCAGCCCACGGGCAATAGTGGCGGCATCAGAGGGACCCTGAGCAGTATTGGGGTAAGGGCAGCACTCAACCTCTCTTTCACGCTCACCTCCAACTGTACTAGAGACAGCAGCCCACGGGCAATAGTGGCGGCATCAGAGGGACCCTGAGCATGGGAGGGTAAGGGGGAGTAAGGGAACCAGCCGACAGGAATTGTATTGCAAACAATAGAAAATTATACAGAGGAGTAGAAATACTAAAATAAACACCTCCAGAATGCGAAATGACATTTGCCATGTGCCATGTGCCATGCGCCATGTGCCATGCGCCATGTGTCATGTGCCATCTGACTGGCATGTGCCATGTATGTGTAGCTCACCAGCATAAGCAACCTGGCCGTCTTCATTTCAGACACCACCAGCAGCGTTTCAGGTGAAAGCTCAGGTGAAACAGTGGTGGAAGGGGCTGCTACACAACTGACAGCAGCAGCAGTGGTGGCAGCAGCAGGAGGAGGACGAGGAAGCGGGAAGGGAGCAGCGGCAGCACAAGTGCCAGCAGCAGAAAGAGGAGCAGCAACAGCAGTAGCACCATTAGCAGTAGCAAGAGAGTCACTGTCAGCAGCAGCAGCAGCAGCAGCAGCAGCAGCATTTTCCCGCTGAAACCGATTGCAGACGGTTGGGAGAGGAAGAGAACGAGCAGGAAGCGCAGTAGTGTGTGTTGCTGCAGTTGCTGTAGCCATGAGAGGGTTTTGAGGGTTATGAGGTGGTTCAGAGGTTTGGTGAGCAGAGGGGAGCACGGGAGGGAGGGTTGCAGGGCGTGGGGGAGGGAGAGAGGACGGGAGGTTGAGAGGGGGCGCGGGAGAGAGGGAAGAGAGGAGAGACGGTCGAAATGCGGTGGAGATGGGTGGAAGTGGGTGGAGTTGGGTGGAGAGCGGGAGAGAGAGGAGAGGGAAGCGGAAGCCTCCTAGTGCCCTGCCTGCTTGCTGCTGCTGCTGCTGCTGCTGCTGTGGCTCTTGGCTGAATCTGAATAAACCTGACACTTGGCCCAAATGGCCCACCCTTCCATGCAAACTACCACTATCAGCACTACCAGCACTGCCAGCAGCGGCACTAGCAGCAGCAGCAGCGATACCAACGGCATTAGAAGAACCACCCACAACACCAGCAGCACCAGCAGCAGTGGCACCAGCAGCAGCAGCGCCAGAAGCTTTGCCCACTGCCCCAGTCCTTCCACCCCTCATTCTCTTCCCCACCCTCCTCCCCTCCCCATCCTCACCCCCCCTCCCCCTTTTCCCTCCCTCCTCACCTCCTCCCCTTCCCTTCCTCGCCTTCCCCCCATCCTTCCGCCCATCCTTCCCCCCGTCCTTCCCCCCATCCTTCCCCCCATCCTTCCCCCCAGCGGACCTACTAGCAGCACTGCGCCATCCGCGCCCCACAAACCCCCACACGTACGAATCATCATCTCCCCCTAGCCCCCTCTTCCTCTTCTGCCTTTGTGGTCTGGTTCTCCTTCCTTCCTCTGCTCCCCCTCCTCCCTCCTCTCCTCCTTCTGCTCCCCCTCTGCCCCCCTCTCCTCCCTCCGCTTCCCCTTCTCCCCCCTCTCCTCCCTCCGCTTCCCCTCCTCCCCCCTCTCCTTCCCCACCTCCCTCTTCCATACCCTCTGTTCCCTCTCCTCCTTCCTCTGCTTCCTCTGCTTCCTCTGCTTCTCCCTCTGCTCCGCCTGCTCCCTCTCTCCTCTCGCTTCCATCTCCTTCCTCTGCTCCGTCTGCTCCATCTGCTCCCTCCCCTCCTCCATCTGCTCCCTCTGCTCCTTTTTCTTTCCCCATGGCACTTTCTTCCCTTTCCTCTGCACCCTCCTCCCTTTCAACTGCCCGCACTGCCTCCTCTTCTGCTAGCTCTCCCTCTAGTTCGTCCAGTCTCTCTCCTCCGCCTGCTCCCCCCTGCTCCTCCCCCACTCCCTTTCTCTCCCCCGCCAAACCTTCCCCTTTAACTGCCCGCACTTTTTTCTCTCCTGCTCCCTCTCCCTCCATTCTTTCTACTCTGCCTCCTCCGCCTGCTCCCCCATTCTCCCCCCCCAATCCCTCCCTCTTCTCCTCCGCCAAACCTTCCCCCTCAACTGCTTCCCCTCCTGCCCCTTCTCCTCCCCCTTCGCTTGTTGCTTTCCCCCCTTGTGCTTCCTTCGCCCGTTCAACTTCTTTGCCCCTTGTTCCCTCTCCTCCTTCCTCAGTTGTTGCTTTCCCTCCCTCTGCTTCCTTTGCTCCTTCACCTGCTTTCCAACCTGTTACCTCTCCTCCCCTCTCGGTTATTGCTTCCCCCCCCTCTGCCTCCTCCGCCCCTTCAACTGCGCCCTCCCCTTCCCCATCCCTTCCATTCCTCCCATCATCCACATTCCTCCCATCACTCACACTCACTGTCGCACCAGCACTCACACCCATGCCTCTGCACCTCGCAGCAGTTGCCAAGTCGGCCAATGCTGTAGCGGCAACATCCCCACTCACAACTGCAACATCGACAACTGTACCCTTTATTGCACGATTCTCTGTATCCTTCATCGCACCATACTTTCTTTCCTCCTCCATTTCTTCCTTCCTCTCGTCCTCCCTATCTTCCTCCTCCCCTTCCTCCTCTTCCTCCTTCCTCTCCTTCCCTTTTTCCCTTCTCTCCTCCTCAACTTCGCTATTATGCTCTGTGCATATTCTCCCATCCACGTCAGCACTAGCGGCTGTAGCAACTGTAATAACTGTAGAGGCTGTAGCTACTGTTGCGTCTGTAGCAACTGTAGCGGCTGTAGCGACTGTAGCCGCTGTAGCGACTGTAGCCGCTGTAGCGACTGTAGCAACTGTAGCGGCTGTAGCCGCTGTAGCAACTGTAGCGGCTGTGACGGATGTAGCAAGACCGCCACCAGATCGTCCACTGCTCGCCCGCCTCAACCCGCACCTCTGACCCTTGCTCCCGAACCTCAGGTCCGGAGCCTCCCGAACCTCCGCTAGGGTTTGGCAATCAGGTTCGGGTGTGTGTGACGGCGGAAGTTTAGCCAAGTACGTTGTCTCGCCTGATGCCAACCCACCCACGACTCCTGATTTTAACGGCGACCCTTCAGTTGGATGAAAAGCAGCCGGGGAGAAACCAGCCATGACACTTATTTTCGGAGGTGACCTTTGAGACGAATGAGAAGCCATCGCCTGGAATCCACTGGCAGCACCAGATTTCATTGATAATGACGGTTTCTCGTCAGGAACAGAAGCGTTACCGCCCGTTACCGCCTCTACGGCGTTTCCAGCCGCTCCTGGCGGTGGCATTTCAACTAACTGCGAATTGGATGTTGCTGTTTCCCTTGCTTCTGTTGCT